AGATTAAGGAAGACGGCAGGATTAGGCAGACCAAGATTCGAATCTTCACTTTGCTGCTTACCTGTCAGACCTCAACCAAATGACGGAATCCTTCCTGAGCTTCATTTCTCCCAGCTGTAAATGGGGATCCCACTACTTTCCTGGAAGCTGTGGGCAGCATGTGTGTGGGGTACCTGGAGAACAGTAGGTGTTCGTGAATGAGCGCTTTCTCTCAAACTCAGAGGATCCTGGAATGGCATCTCCGCGGTGATGATGCTGGGTTTGTTCTCCCATGGCCTCAGCTCATGTACATTTCACAGGGTGTTGTAGCAAGCACACCTTTCCATGTCCCATGGCCTTGGGTGTGCTCTAACCAGGTGCCCTTCTGGGTCTGAGAGAGAGGCCAAGGCTTGAGCACTTCTTTGCTGATAAATGAACACGTTTTCTCCTGGTTCAGGTTGCCGGCTTCTTTAGCATCAACAAATTCCTGCCTATGGCTCCCCTGATAGGAGCCACAGTCTCTGCGTTGCTCTTAACCCCCTCTTTCTGTTCTTAAACAAAACAAAGCAAAACCTCCTAAAATAAGTGGAAAGAATGATACCATGTTCTGATAGGACCCTAACCCAATGACATCTAGCTTTAGTTGAATATCATGAATAAGTCATTAATTCATGCCAGAAATGAAACAGACACTGTCCCATGGCATGTTATCCTAGGGTGGATTAGCAGTTCCCAGACCACACTTTGAGAACGTTTTCACTAGCCTGTCAGGAGCATTACTAAAATTTCCCATTTTCTTATTTTGTGAATTAATCCTGCACATGCAGACCCTCCTTAGTATCAGACCAAGACTGTGTGGGTGGTAAAACTCAGCAATGATTTTTCAGGAAGTAGTAAATATTCTGGAAAGATTTCCTTAGCCTCATAATTCTTGGATTAACTACTTCCAACTTAGCTCTCTCAATATTTTTAGGTTTTAATTTGGGAACATTAAAGATACAGGATGTTAGCAAGCGTTTATTAAAACCTCAAGACCAGAGTCTTGGAAGTACGATATGTGTTCACTTCGCCTCCCTCCACAGTGCTCCCACCTGTCCTCTTTCACATGTGATTTCCCTTGAGGTACTTTTCCCACAGAGGCACGCCATGTTTTCGATTTAAGTCACATTAGATAGGTAGCATTTGGACGTGTTTTTATACCCACTTATTTACCTAAATTATATTATGTGGTGATTTAAGATAAAGGGGGTTCTTGACAGCCACAGCTTCTGATTAGCAAGAGTAGGACCCAACTGGCTACCCTTCCTGAGCATAGCTCCTATCTTCCTCTGCTGTCCCCCAGACCACCAACCACGTCGAGTCTGAACCTTAGAAAAGCTTGGAGTAGATTCCATTGTCACTGGGGAAAGTCCTCTGGTGGAAGTGACACCAGGAATCGCAACCCGCGGCAGAATGGAGGGAGGGTTCTAAGATTCAAAGAGCATTTGTAATCAACCATGAAAAGGAAAAACTAAGAAACTTACAAACCTTTCCGTTTGCAGTCCAGCGTTTGGATGGGAAACACGTAATTGTAGCAAAGAGAAGAATCCACCTCAGGCTTGATGACTGGGGGTCTCCCGGACACTTGGGGTCTCGGGTCTAACCGTTCGCTTTCTTCTTCGCTGCATAACTGTTCAGGTTTTAGCTGCCTCAGTTTTTTGTTTTTCAGTTCTTGGGGGCCTTCGCACTTGGCGTAGTTCCCCAGATTCCTGTTTCTTGGAATCTGCAACATGGAAATAAGCGTTTCCATCTCGCAAGTACAGTGCCAGGGGTTGTCGTAAAGACGCAGGTAGCTCAGGAGAGGCGTGTAAATGAACACCTCCTCCGTCAAGACTTTGATCTGGTTGTGCTGCAGGAGGAGAGTAGTCAGTTTATTTAAACCAAAGAAAGCGTCGCCCTCGATTTTGGAGATCTCGTTCTGTTGCAAATCCAGGCTCTTCAGCCTTTTAAACTTGGAAAACATCTTGTTCTTCAATATGCGGATCTTGTTTCTCGCTAACAGCATGTGCAGCAAATCCTGAGGCCAGTCAGGCAGCACGTAAACTAGTTTTCTCTCTTGACAGTCTAAGTATTTCTCGTGGAGATACGTGTAGACTTCGCAGGGGAGGCCTGGTGCGTAGCGTTTGACGGGGCTGGAGCCTCTCCTGCTGCCACCGGCCCGGCCATGATTGGCTCGGCCTCTCGGGCTTGCCTTGCGGAGTTCCGCGGCCTTACAAAAGAAGAGCAGGATTACCACGGTAACCACACGCATCCTGACATCCAGCTGGTCCCAATTACTTGGTGTGACAGACGGAACAATGAAAGTATTCCTTTGAAATCCAAGCTTGGGCAATCTTAACTAATGCGGTTCAGAACAATGAGACCCAGCTGAGGTATGGTGGGAGGCCCTAAGTTGCAAGAGAAAAAAATACATGAAGAACCATTGCGAGCGTTGTGTCGTTAACAGCAGCTTCAAAACAAAACAAAACAAAATTTATTTTCTTTATATATATTCTATTGTAGTATAATTGATGTATAACATTATGTTTCAGATGTATAACATGATGATTGGATATTTATATGTATTGTGAAATGATCACCACAGTAAGTTTTTTTTTTTTTTTTTTTTAAAGCCAAGACATTGCAATTAATAAAGACACATTCTGAACGGTGGTGTAGTGGGCCCTCCCACTTACCTGGTTTGGTGGCTAAACGTTTGGGCCCTGAGCTGGAATGAAGACTCTCCTACTTGCTTAACTATGTGACCTCACAGTCACATAGTCACATAGTGCACCTGGGTGGCTCCGTCAGTTAAGCATCTGCCTTCAGCTTAGGTCATGATCCCAGAGTCCTGGGATCGAGTCCTGCGTCAGGCTCCCTGCTCAGTGGGGAGGCTGCTTCTCCCTCTGCCTGCAGCTCCCCCTGCCTGTACACACACACACACACACACACTCTCTCTCTCTCTCTCTCTCTCTTTCTCTGACAAGTAAATAAATAAAATCTTAAAAACAAAAGAACTATATGACCTCAGGCTAGTTATTTAACCTCATCTTCAGTATCTGTAAAATGGGGCTGAGGACGTGGTGTAGTATTGTCAGGAAAATGAAATAGGCTCATGGGCAGAAGACGCTTATCAGCGCCAGGTCCCGGGGAAGTACCCCACAGTGCTAGGGCTTAGCGTTAGGAAAACTGAAACATGTAACGTATCAGCACATTGGATTCAAGACAATCAAGGGATTCTTTATAGCCCTGAGACATGCAGGGGGGGAAAAAAAAAAGTAGATCTCCAATGGTTGTCCTCCCCAGCTCATTTTTTTTTTCTTTCCTGGACTACCTCCCAATTAACCAACCACAATGAATGTGAGATCCAGAAATGCCCAAAGTATACTGCCCTGTCCTTGTTAAGTCTTGCATATTTTGGCTCAAATGTCACCTCAGCAAAGCCTTCTCCGAGCACTGTATTTAAAGTGGCACCTTTTCCACTTGCTAGCCACTCTCTCTACTCCCTTTTTTATTTTATTTTTCTTCATTGTACTTATCACCATCTGTCCAAGTAGATATTATACTTCTTTTGTTTACCATCCGTCTCCCCCACCTAGGATGTGAACTCCCCAAGGGCAGGAATTTTTGTCTTTTTTGTTTACTGCCATATTTTTTGGCACTTGCAGAGTTTCTGACACACAGCAAGTTCTCAATAAATATTTGTTGAATGCACGAATTACCTACTCTCAAGTAACAATTCTATAAAAATATTAATTTTTAATATTATCATCAGTTTAGTTATTACATTGTTTTCAGAATCTATTTTCTGCCTTAACAGGTATCACTAGTCACTTCTAAGATCTGCACACTGTAAAGCACTGCTTTCATTTTTAAATTCTGAGAGTGATTTTGGTTTGCATTTATTACTTAGGACACAGTCCATTCTTGGAAGAGGTAGAGATGTTCAAAATCGGTTTATAATGAACAACATTGCTGTTGTTATTATTGTGGGGCTAAGTGGTTATGAGCAACAGATGTGTTTTCTATCCGTTGTAGCAGTGTGAATGCAAGATCACCCTCTTGCCTGGAGTCTTCCTGCCTGACAGGGTCTTCCCCACCTAGAATGACTTCTCCCTCTTTGCCTCATGCATTCCTCCCCTTTACTCTTTTGTTTCCTCCCCCTTAGATCCTTCTTTTCTGTCTCAGATTTGGAGTTTTACTTCCTGTCGGTCTAGACCCGGAGTGTGGATTGTGTAACGCTCTGCTATCTAGGTCTTTCTGTATGTGTGAGACCATAAACTGTGCAGTTCCCTCTGGTTCCAGACTTAATCAGGCACTTGACCTCTCTGATCCTTTGTGTCTTTCTCTGCAATTCACTGTAAATTGTGTGAATCTCATTTATACAAATTATAAATATTTTGTTAATTAGTATGCATGCTGAATTATTTATAATTCCATGCTGATGTATGAGGGGAACGTGTGCTAATGTCTGCAACTTACTTTAAAATGCATTAAAAATAAGATTGATTGAAGGATGGATAGAAAGATGGATGTATAGGTGAATATGTGATAAAGCAAATACAGTGCAAGTGTAGTGGGTATATATGCACTGTACAACTCTTCAAGTCTTTCAACTTTTCTGTGTTTGAAAATTTTTACAATAAAATGATAAAAGACAAAAACCAAAAAATGAACAAAAAGTCATGCCACAAAAAAAGCAGGTTGGTTTTCTTCCCAGCTAAAAGCTCTAAGTATATACTGTTTTTCCCAAAGCAATATTTTCCTTTTTTCCCCCTTTCTTCTGTAATCCTCAAATGATAATAAACATGTGTATATATTTTAATTTTAAAGCCAGAAGAAATTGGTTTTCTGGGAAAAGGAACCATATACTTAGAACAAATTACTTGCCAAGGTTTTTGTTTGTTTTCTAATGAATACATCGCATTAAATGTAGGAAGGAAAATTTTAAGTTTAAACATTTGCGCTATGTTGTTTAATGATGTTTAACTTGTTTGATTTAGGCCTCTGTAGAAATCTTCAAGAGCTGAACGTCTCTGACTGTCCAACACTCACAGTGAGTATATGAAGCTTATTTTACTATTTTTTATTTAGATTCAGGCTTGCTATATTGCAGTGCCAATACACAGAGATTTTTGCCAAAATACAGGCATGTGTGCTCGTTTAGGATCAAATGTGTAAAAAAGCAAACTATGTTAAACATAGTTGGCAAGATTTATCCCATTTGTATAATGCTATTATTAATCCTGTAGCTATATGCCCAAGGTTGGAGTCTCTGGAAAAGTGAAAACTGTTCAACAATTATACAAAATTAACTATGTTTATATTTAGGGTCATGTGTGTCTGAGACAGAAAAAAATGGGTGCCAGGAATGACAATGGGCTGATTTTAGTGGTCTTCGTGGCTATCAACTGTGTGCCAATGAAGATGGAAATGAGCCTGTAACCCTGGCCAGCTCCTTCCTGGTCCCTGTCTCTACGCCTTTCTTTGACTTCCAATCTGTCTTGTCCCCTGTGAGCACATACACTTTCTAAGAGGCAGATCTGATAATTTCACTCCCATTTTCCAACATGTATAAACACACTCGCCATCTACACTATCCCATGAAGTCAAAGCTCTTTAACATTACTATACCTTGGAGACCCTGTGTGGTCTTGCCTCTGCCTCCTCCCCCAGCCTCATCTTGCTCCAATTCCTGCACACACATTAAGTTTCAGCAACCATACAGTGCTACACTTTCTTTGCTCCATGAGCCAAGATGCTCCTTGCTGTTTTGCTTCTGCTCGGGCTGTGCTCTTTTCATGGAATGCCCTTTTGCTTTGTCCTCAGGTATTACTTTCCTCTTTGTTGGGCTTTAAACCTTACTTTAGGTACTACCTCCTTCACCTCCTTTACCAAGACATCCCTGTCTCCCAGGGCTGGGCTCGTCACTGCTCCACTGGGTCCCTAAAACAAGTAGCCCTAATCACAGCATTTCTGCCTCTTCCACTAGCCCAAGAAGGCCAAAGGGCAGGAGACGTGTCTTGTTTTCTGTGGTAGTCACAGCACACACGTTGGTATAGTAAATAGTCTACTTCTGCTTAATGAATGAAATTGTATGGAGATCCTGAGCAGGTAACGGAGAGCATGGCATAAAACTTGAGGTTCCATCTTGGGTTGACATTTTTGTATTCTTAATGAACGTTACAAAAGTGAGTATGATTAACCTAGAGAGAGAAAGAAGGTATGAGAAGAGCCCTTAGGATGGAACCTTGGGGATTGCTGATTTTTAGAAGTAGGCAGAGGAGAAGAAATAGCGAAGAATCTTAAGAAAGGCCAGTAAGAGGGGACATTTGGCTGGCTCAGTTGGTTAAGCGTCTGCCTTTGGCTCAGGTCATGTTCCCGGGGTCCTGGGATGACACCTTGCATCAGGTTCCTGCTCAGTAGGGAGCCTGCTTCTCCCTCTCCTCCCCGCTCGTGCTCTCTCTCACTATCTCGGTCTCTCCCTCTCTCAAAACAAATAAAATCTTAAAAACAAAACAAAACAGTAGGAGAATTCGGGTGAAAACAGAAGAGGCTGATTTTGTCATGCTCTTCATTAAGCAACGACTCCAACAGGACGTCCACACCCTCCAGGGTTGTCATTCTACTTCTTTCTTTCAAACTTCTGTTTCATTCTGTGGGTATTTTTAGTATGTACTACTTTAAAGATATTTTTATCTTTATATGTAAAGATGTATAGGGAATGTATATGCTATAAAATATAGGTGTTAGAGGGAATTAAAAATGAATCAAGTTTCAGTTCCTGCCCTTAGGGAGCTTCAGTTCTGCCCTTGAATAACAGATCACAGTCTTTAAATTTGGCTTTCTCATAGGAAAGTCAAAGCAAATGCCATCTGCATTGAATTTGTGAACGTCAAAATCTTTCCCAATTTTGGAGTCTAATACTATACAGGGTTGATAATTTTACCCAGCTACATTTTACTATTGTTTTTTCCCTTTGAAGCACAGGCTGGGAGACAGGTTTAAATTTAAGGAGTTGAGTAACATTCATTCAAAAAGCTTTATTTCTAAGAAGCTTGCCTTATGAATATATTATATTCAGAAAGATTTGGGTGCATTGTGGACAAATTCAGAAACCATTTTGCAATGGAGACACTCAAGCAGTGTTTGTTTTTATGTGCTCTCACCTTTGGGGACTGAACCTTGAGCTCTTTTAAATGCTGAGACTAGGATTTGTCTGAAGTTTCTTGGATGTCCACGCTCCTCCAGACAGGAAAATGCAGTGAATGGTTTGTTTCCTTATCTTAAAGGAAAAAGGAGCTTCCTCTGTGGTGCATAAACATACTTCCTCTTCCTCTTCCTGGCCCCACATTTTCATCTTCTCTGTGGCTGCCTCCTTGAGGGTGTATCAGCTTCCCGTCCTCTCCTTGCCCCATCTCACTTGCATTTTGGTCGGTCATTCAATAGGTGCAGAATTACTTTGATATTTGATTGGCACCATGAATGTTTTTGAAAATAGATTTTGTTTCTATTAAACTACAATGCCATTTATTATAATTCTTTATTCCTTCTGGGAAATTTTTACCATATATATTTAATATATGTATGTGTGTATATATGCATATACACATATATATAAATAAATTTTTACCATATATATATATTTTTAATCATTTTTTAAATTTATTTTCAACATAACAGTATTCATTGTTTTTGAACCACACCCAGTGCTCCATGCAATCTGTGCCCTCTCTAATACCCACCACCTGGTTCCCCCAACCTCCCACCCCCCCACCTCTTCAAATATTTTTTTAAATCTATCCACCTATACCTAAATCCTGCATTTTAGTGGTGGAATATGTAGGAAAATTGCTGGCAGCTTGAATGCAGTGGCAAAAATACAGTGTTTATTGAGTCCCTGCCCTTGCACTCATGCAGCGTCGGCGCTCAGAGCCTTTCCTAGAGCAGGACTGCAGGAATTTGTACTGTATTATCCACGACTCTGGGGAATAGCTAGGAATAGAACACTAAACATTGATGATCCTGCTGAAAATAAACCTTTGCCATCCTTAATGGTGCCGGAGGTGGCCATAGTGAACATGCAGAATTCTTTCCCAAACCACATTCCCCAGGCAAGTGACAATTGACATCTTCCTGCGATGGCCTATTCTTTCCAGGACCGATGTGCCACAAATATTTAAAACTAGCTGACCTTGTCAGTGTTCCTGGGGAGACTCATCCACCATCGCTAAATAAATAAAAGCCTGCTGCTACTTACTCACATGGAGCATTTTATAAGTAGTTACCCATATGCGAGGCGGCTCTACCGCAATCACAGCCGGCAATTCATCTGGTCTTGTAAATGTCAGTGTAGGGCTCAGGCTTGAAATGACTGTCTTCCTGTCTGTCTCATGTCACAGTCGCTCTGTTCTCTTGTGTCAGCTCTGGGGGGAGCTGCTTGAATCTTTGAGAGTCTCACCCCCAACCTCCCCAACACTGAACTTCATGTTCAACATGTGTGTACTTTTTTCTTTTTTTTTTTTGCTTCAGAACATTTCAAGTAAATTTGGTGAGACTCTGTTTGGCTGTTTTAATATACTCACTAATAGGACCATAGAAACTTAATTACACGCACACACACACACACACACACAGATTTCTATAAATATGTATGTGTAAATATGGACTCACTTTTAATGAAGTCCAATTAAGAGCATTTACTATTCCTGTCTTTCAGAATGACTTTAGCACGTTTAAAAATAGATGAGGTTTTAATCGCTTTCCTGCATCTGAAGAGTCAGGAGCAGTGACACTTTGACACTTGAGCTCAAATTTCCTGTCAGCGTTGAACTTTTAACAAAGTGTCACTGTGATGGAATGGGACTTTATTTCCAAAGAAAGGGCAGGGGGGAGAGTAGTGAAGCTTCAAACAAAACCATCACCTTCTATTGAATTTGATTTACAACTAATAACCAAGCATATCAAGAGACCAAGGCTTGCATATACTTTTTGGGAGAGAGAAAATGGGGAAATCACAAAGCCTGCTAGACTTTGGTAAGATTCTCCCCTCTGTTTTTCCTGCAGGATGAATCAATGAGATACATCTCTGAGGGCTGTCCTGGGGTCCTGTACCTCAATCTATCTAACACCACCATCACAAACAGGACAATGCGAATCCTGCCCAGGTAATGCTCGTGTTCTCTGTATTACCCCGAGGACAGTTAGGCCCCTCCCGGCTCTGGCTCACTCTAGCATTCCCCGAAGGCAGTGTTCCTTTTGACAGCACCCCCCTCCCCAACCGTGGCACCATGATGGTGGTAACAGCACTGCTTCTTTCTTGTCCCCAAGTGGGTGCCTCTCCTGCCCAGGTGGGTCCAGCTTAAATAACTGGTCCTCTGCTTGGCCAGTGTTCTTGTGTCACTCTTGGAGCAAAGTGCCTAGAAGCTTGAGTTAGGCTCTGCCTGTCTCTTTCTGGTCCTCCTTCCTGGGCAACAGAGCCTGCCTCCTAAATTCTAGTCCCATGTCTGGACTTCTTGACAACGGAACACCAGTGTCTTCCCTCCTTGAGCACTGCAGGCCCACATTCCCTCTTGCCATGCTTTGGTCACCTGTTGGGACCTCCACCACCCCCAGGAAACCTGGTACTGGTTATTTTTTCACCTGTGAACTGGTGACAACCCTGAACACAGATGCTGCTTTTCCTCAGCTAGTGCTTCTTTAGAGAAGGGACAGAAGAATACAAGACATCACCAAACATTGACAGAATATTCAAATTCTGCCTTCAGCTCATGTCATGATCCAGGGTCCTGGGATGGAGCCTGTGTTCCTGGGGCTCCCTGCTCACTGTGGAGTCTGGGTCTCCCTCTCCCTTTGCCCCTCCCTCCACTCATGCTCTCTCTCAAATAAATAAAATCTTTTTTTTTTTTTTAAGTGCATCATGTTTATAGCTGCAACACTGCAAATACCATAAAACATTGAGGAAATATTCTTTTAGGACTTGGAAACTATTACCTGATTCAGCAAAGAAGCCACTCATGTCACTGATAGATGAGTGAAGTCTGTACATACATCTTTGTTGTTTCACTTTTGTCCTACTCATGAATGTAAATGAAAATATTCGTGTTGAAACTATACACATTCCTCAATATTTTTGAACTTTTTTATTTTTTGGTGAAAACAAGAAATACATCAGAGTCATAGAATTTTATTTTTCCTTTGAAACCAAAGAAGACAAAATTACTAGCTGCCTTTATAACTTTGGCAAAAGTCCATGAAGGCATTGTGTGAGAATCTAATGATTATATCAACTTTATAATAAAGAGTATTATGTATTTTATTATCATTTATAAGTTGTGAGCTATACATACTTTATATCTCTAAGATAGTAAATGTAAAATAGTAATCAGTGCAAATTTATAGTAAACATATATACATTTATATGCATATATGTTTTTAAAGTGCCAGTTGTTAGATATTTACTAGTATGCCAATAATTAAAGATAAAATAATTTATGAACTAATGTATTTTTTTGTAATTTTTGGTCTTCTTATCAGGCACATAGTCTAATTTTTTTTCAAATATTTTATTAGATATCTCAAAATTTTGTTTTATTCATATGGGTAATCTTTGTGATAGCTCTTCAGTTGCTACTGTAAATGCTATCTTTTCTGTTTTAATTTCTCATTATATTTTCTAAATGGTCATTTTTGGACTTGGGTACAGTACAAGTATCTTTTAAGGTTTTAATTTGTAAGATTAGATTTAATTTGTAAGCTTTAATATGAAATGACCTCTAAATAAGAATTTAGGCAAAGCTTCTAAGATTTGATATTGTTCTCATTTTCTAAAGAAACTGTTGTATATCTGATTTTCTCTTTGACCCAGTAATTATTTAGAACAGAATTTTTGGATCCAAGTAGTTGAAATTTCTTTGATTAAGCTTCTGGTTTTAATTTCTAATTTTGTACAGTGGTCAAGAAATGTGGACTGAATTATTTCTTTTCTTTTCTTTCTTTCTTTCTTTCTTTTTTTTTTTTTTTTGGACTGAATTATTTCTACCTTGTGGAATTTATTGAGATTTCTTGGTGGACTAGTACATAAAAATAATTCTAGTAAATCATCCATGAATGTTTAAAATAAGAGAGTTCCTTTTAGAGAACAAAATTTCTATGTGTATGTGTGTATCTATGTATAAATTCTTGATATTTCTTACTGTAATAATGATATATTGGTTGCCTTTTATAATCAAGCTTCCTTAGTTTATTTTGATATTTTTATTTTACATATAAAGATTAATAAGTAGTATGTTTCATTATAGATTATAGCATTTTTTCCACATAAAATTATATTCTTTATCCTGGTTGATGTTTCCTTGCCTTGAATTCTTTATTTGCTATTAATATGGTCACCTTTGTTTCCTTCTGCTTATGGTTCTGTGGAATAACTTTATGTATACCTGTTTTTTAATTTTTTTTATTATTAATTTTTAAAAAGGTTTTATTTATTTTTTTAGAGAGAGCACATGTGAGCAGGGGGAGGCACAGAGGGAGAGAGAGAATCTTGAGAAAACTCTGTGCTGAGTGTGATCCCACAACCCCGAGATCATGACCTGAGCTGAAATTAAGAGTCAGCCGCTTAACCGAGCCACTCAGATGCCCCTCTATCCCTGCATCTTTAATCTTTATGCTGGTATATTTCAGATTTGTCTTTTGAAGGAAGCATATAGTTAACTTCTGTTTGTAAATTTTTCATTCTGCCTTTTTAAGAGGTTAGTTTAGAAGATTAGTATTTCCTGTCAAAATGGAGCATATGGTCTTATTTTTATCATCTTGCTTTATGTTTTTGATTTTTCTGTTACTGTACTATATTCATTGCTTTCACCTTTTGCTATATAAACTATGTGGTTGACTTTTATAGTTTTGAGGTATTTCAGAGGTATGTGCACATTCTGTTCTGTATTTCAACCAGTGGCTATTTGTATGTTTTTGGGTTTTTTTTTTTTTTTTTAAGATTTTATTTATTTCTTGGAGAGAGAAGGAACAAGTGTGGGGAGGGGCAGAGGGAGAGGAGGCAGACTCCCTGCTGAGTGCGGATCCTGACTTCAGGCTCTGTCCCAGGACCCTGGCATCATGACCTGAGCTGAAAGCAGATGCTTAACTGACTGAGCCATCCAGGCACCCCTGTATGGTTTTTCTGAAACGTGCTTTTAATATGCATTTCTCCAATTACCAGTCATGATGGAACAATGACTTTGGCTCCTCCTCCTGTGTTAGACTAGAGATCTAACACACTTTGATTCTCCCTTGAACTTGATGCTTCTCTACTTCTTCCCTTTGTATATAAACACATGAAAATTGTGATTTTTGTTAATCACTTAACTTTCCTTTTAATATTGACTTTTATGTTTGTGATGATATTTATGGTTATGTAGTCCTAACTCTAGTTTTGTCATTTATTGATGGTCCATCTGTTCACCAATTTCTTTATTCTTTAATTCTGATTTTTATTCATCCCATGATGACTGGGAATATAGTTTTAAGAACCCTTTAACCGTAAGATAAACGGGTGTTAGATTTTCGGCCACTGCTTTCTGAAAATAACTTTCTTTTGGCATATAGTTCTTGAATCATATCCCTTACTTTATTTTTAAAATCCTACAAATACTTCCCCATAATCTTTGATATTTCGGATTAAAGAGAAGTGTAAAACCAGCTTGATTTTTTTGTTCCTTTGTTGTTCATCTATTTTTTCTGCAACTATGCTTAATTTACTGAGAAATTAAAAACATTTTCCAGCTTAATTGTATTCTTTCAATTAACTTTTCCTGGAACATAGGAACCTTTGAACATTAAACTTAGAACATTAGAACATTTTGAACATTAAAACTTAGACCTTTTCTCAGCCAGGGAAAGTATTTTTCTTTTTTAATTCTTCTATTCCATTTGTTCAGGTTTAATCTTAAGAATCCTCTTTCCTTTATAGGTTGAATTTTTATTCCTGACTTTCAAAGCTGTCATCTTCTTTCTTATCATTTTATCTCTGTATACTTTTCTTCGGCATACTATGTTCCCTATATCAGTAGTTCTCAAAGTGTGTTCCAAGGGTAGCTGTGTTCCAGTAAATGTTTAATAACTAGTTTGGGTAGAGGCTAAGGGGATGTTCTGATTTCTCTGGTATAAATGCTACCACCATGATCATTTTTAAGCTACCAAAATGATGTCATTGATCGTGGAGTTGGGAAGAAATGCTAATGGTTGGCTCTCATGGGCTGGTGTAAGCCAGCTCCAGTGACACCACTGTGGAGGGCCCCAACCCTCTCAGGAGTTCTATGAGGTTCTCTAGTCCTACAATATAGAATATTGCTCAGTACTTTTGTTTAGGCATTCCATATTGAGATATGTATGTACATGAATATATGTGCATGTATGAATGTGTTTGTGTGTATATAGAGAGAGCATATATGTTTGTGTGTGTAGAAAGAGACAGAATATATTATAAAATCCATTAAGTCCTTATGTGAAAATCTGAACTTAAAAAGTAGATGATTTGGGATAGCATACTTTTAAATTAAAAAAAAAAAATTTTTTTTTTAATTTATTTGACAGACAGAGATCACAAGTAGGCAGAGAGGCAGGCAGAGAGAGAAGAAGGAAAGCAGGCTCCCTGCTGAGCAGAGAGCCCGATGCGGGGCTCGATTCCAGGACCCTGGGATCATGACCTGAGCCGAAAGCAGAGGCTTTAACCCACTGAGCCACCCAGGCGCCCCAAGGGATAGCATACTTTTAGATAATCATTTCTCCTAGGAAATTTAAAATAATACTACAACCATGCATAGTTTCTGGGACATTTATTGTACAAATGAAGCTGTACATTTAATGAGCAACAGATAGAAAAACAGGACCCAAAATGAGAATTTTGTTTTGATTCTAACTCTAGTTCTTGCTGTTGAAAGAATATCCAGGGTAAATGCACTTGATATTGATGACTTTTGTCATACAAAAAAAATGTGCACCGACTTTCTTATCTGTGATAAAAATATATTTCATAATGACTATTTTTGCTCTGTTTTCCATTGTTTCAAATATGCTTGGGTATGCTAAAGGGTTCTTTAAACTATAAATAACCGGAGAAATGTTGTTTGTGCTGTTGTCATTCTCTCTCCAGGGCCTTTAGCCTTTCTTTCCAAAGAAATAATTTGTCAAAAGAATATAATTTGTTTGCCCTTCTTGACAACACTGATTGCCAGCTTCTTATTTGAATATTTTTCCTCACTTGCTTCAGGGACTTGCTCAACTTTCTAAAGTTGAAAATGGGGGTGGCTGTTAGCTCGTGCCCATTCCAGGACACGTTTGCTTTTTCCTGAATCAAACCCTTTCCATTCATTCCACAACCTAGCTGGCACTCCCAGCATTTCATTTGCCATAGCATCCTAACTGGTCACCCTTGGTCTCTTTTCCTTTCAATCTGCTTTGCCTTATGCTGTAAGAAGTATCACCCTGGAACAATATTCTTGTCATGTCTTTGACATGCTTAAGCTCTAGACTCTTCCCTTACTGTCTTTTAACGTTATCTGATCAAACCTATCTGCCCAGGTTTCCTGAGGGAGGCCCTTAACTCCTACCAGATTGCTGTATGCTTCTTGTTCTCTATAGCTAGAATGTCTTTCTCCTCCTCTTTGCTAAGCCATAGCCTTGAAACCTCAAGTCTATGCCATCTACCAGAATTCCACAATGATTTCTCCTTTCCTTGAAACCTAACAGCAACATTCATTCTCTTATTCACCATTTATTGATCAATTACTATGTGGGAGACATTCTAGGCATATAGGAGAGAATAAAGCTACTATGATCTTTGCTCCTTAATGGAGCCTCATCTTGTATAGTGATACGGTGTTCGATTATTTTTCATACAGGCCCTTCAATTGGCTTGGAAAGTTCTTATTCATAGGTGCTCTCATGTAATATAGTCTTACCAGTAACCATCAGAGCGGGGCAAACAGAGGAAGCTGTTGCCTTGACTTGACTGGACATCCTCAAGGTCTACCCTACAAATAAGAGGTCAAAACACTCCATTTGGGTTTCTGCAGGAATCTATTATGCAAAACTGTCCCTATGAAACTAAAAAGCCCACCACTTAACTCAAAAGAAACTACTGCAATCCTCTCTTACAGATAGGCCTTGTCTTGGTGATTTTTCAGAGAAATTTTTGTTTAAATACATAATTCTTCATTCCTTCCAATAGTAATTCCCTGAGGTATTGGTGATCTAACACAGAAGGTTTCAATTCGTTAATGGAAAAAAGTCAAAAGAAAAGAGAAAAAGTGACCTCTGTAGTTTCTGTAAGTCTATAAGACTTCTTAAAGATTATAGTAGCAGTAGAAAAATAAATCACAAAGGGAACCCCCCCCATTAGAAACACTTATTTATCAAATAATGAAGAAAAGATAAACATAGGCTGCCAACATTGCCTCAAAGTAGAATTAGAAATACCAAGTTGTCTCTGGCCTGAGAAAATGATGAACCAGATCTTATTCACGTAAGGGACTTTTTTGCCAAAATTCAGAATAAAAAGTTGCAGTATTGCATAAAATTTGCCAAGTGATTTCACTGTCAACTGATTATTTTCCCATCCCCAGCAGCTTCAAGCCTATGGCCCTGTAAATCCCTAGAAAGGTCTACAGGGCCACTTAGGATTCTCCTGTGCTGGGTTTTCAAACTGATGGTTCCCAAGAGGTTCCATTTTGAATACAGTCATCTAGGGACTTTCAGTCTGGGAGTCATTTAGTCCAGTGAAAAACTTCTTTTGCCAAAGCTGAGGTTCTCAACCTGGGCTCAGTGGATTCTCCAAGGAGACCACAGATAGAATTTAGAGGTTCCATGAATTTTGATGGGGGAAAAATGATCTCTATTTTCACTAAGCTCTAACTGAAATGCAGGTTAAGAAAAATCACAGTAGTATTAGCAGTTCCCGGGACTTCTTGACCATATAAATCTCAAACATTTTCTTATTATAGTTGTTACAAGTATCTCGAAGTATCATTGACAATCATCACTACTTCAAAATCAGGGGTAGTTATTAGCTCTGCCATTAGATCTTGTTATTTAATATGCTAATAAAGAAGCACATACATTATTATTCCACTCATTTGGTTTTTTAAGAATTTTGATAATGATATCTTTCAATATAATTAGTTGCTTTTGTAATTTTAAGTGTTTTATTTTACGCATTAAAAACATTATGCTGATGAAGGGTCCATAGATCTAGAGTATATGTTATACACAAAAAGTGAAAAACTCCTCATTCCATTCCTACTTTGAGTATTTGTGTGTGTGTGTGTGTGTGTGTGTGTGTGTGTTTTAAGATTTTATTTATTTATTTGAGAGAGAGAGAGAGAGAACAAACAGAGGGAGGGAGAGGGGCAAGCAGACTCCACACTGAGCGCAGAGCCCAGCGTGAGGTTCTATCCCAGGATCCTGAGATCATGACCTGAGCTGAAATCAAGAGTCAGAGGCTTAACTGACTGAGCCACCGAGGTGCCTCCCACTTTGAGTATTGTTAACTGATCACAAGGACTGAAAAAAGTCGAACAATAGGCTTGGGCTTGATTTGCATATATTTGAATATGCATGATTTTGTAAGTGACAGCTACACTATTATAATTAAAGACAGACTGATATAGAGGTTAAAAATGGGTTAAGAACAGTCTGCAAATGAGTGGGCAACACATGAGGGGAATAAAAACTGTATCAGAGGCTATCAGTCTCACTGGAGTTCAAACAGATTAAAAAGGGCATTAAACCTTGAACAAAATAAGGGTGTAGATGTAACGTGAGGTTCCCCAAAGTCTTGGAATCAGTTGTATGTGCTACTTTTGTCAGATGATAGCCATTCCATTATGTGGAAGAAGATAGTACAAACTTCATAAGAACAATTAATACACTATTATTTGAAGTAGTAATAGCAAGAATATATATATTTCAAAACTTCTACCTACTGATTTCAATCATCAAAAGTCATCTTTAATATAATATTGTTACATCTATGTTCTCATGTAATTGTCATACCTCTGAGAGCAAAGAGTAGATGGAATTATATCCATGTTACAGATGAGAAAACTAGGATTCAGGAAAGCTGAACACAGTCAGGGTTAAAAAAAAAAAAGAGAGAGAGAGAGAGAGATAATATTATAATCTCCACTTAACAGATGCAGAAACAATCTCTCAGAGGTTTGGGAAGTTGCAGTAAGTGTCAGGGCTGAAATCTGAATCCAACTTGGTCAGATTCCAAAACCTCGTGTATTTTCCATTGTGTTGTGCTGTCTGCCTTACTATTCCTTTCTCTAATTAGAGAGCTAAAGGTTTGTTAGAAATGACAACCTCCCACACACACCCCAAGAAAACTGTACTTTGCTCCGTTGAATCACAAGGATACCCCCAAGGGAGAGAAAGACAAAGTGTTCCCAAAACTTTGGCATAGCCCTTGGTTAACTCAAGGGCCCCAGGAGAGGGGATGTGTCCTGGGGATATTAGTGCTGCTTTCTGCTGCACGGCTCTGCCCACAGCCACGGGAGAATCCAGATGGCGTCCCTCTTTGTTCTGTAGAATCTCATGGACATTGCTAGAGGGGAATGTGTGTTCTGCATAAAATCAGTCACTATGGAATGGGAATCATTATATATCATATAGATGTGTTTTCCAAATTTTAGGAATAAATCTGATTAACTGTCAATGCTTGTCTATCTTACTTCCCATTTACGTGAAAGTAAATTTTACTAGTCATCTGTGGGCTTTTGAGGGTCAGAGAGTCACCTTCTTCCCACTTTTTGTTCTTTTTGCTTTCCAATTTGCTGTTAAACTGTTGCAGATCAGAAACCAAGAGCATGTTGTTAATTCCATTACAAGAGCGAGCAATAGTGGGAGTTCTTGCACTTTTAAAAAATGCCAGGCTTAGGAAGGCTTGAAAAATTGTCCAGAGAATGTCCTCAAACTGTAAGCCCTTGCACGGTAGTACAGGCTCATCTTAATAATCCTCCTTTTTTTCTGGAAGCGATCACTTTGGTCATGGTGGCAATGCCATATTTAATCTGTTTGAACTCCAGTGAGATTGATAGCCTCTGATGTCGTTTTTATTCCCTTCATGTGTTGCTCAACTCATTTGCACACTGTTCTTTTTAACCCATTTTTAAGCTCTCTATATCAGTCAGTCTTTCTTTAACTATAAAGATGAAACACATACAAAATCACGCATATTCAAAAAGTTTTTTCCAAACCATTTGCTTATCATGTCCATCTTAGGAGCTTGTTACGTTTAACTTCGCCTTTCTGCTCCAAATCCTCACTGCCGTGAACAGTTAATTGCCATTTAAATGTTTTCAAAGGGTTTGTCCATCTAGACGTTTTGCACATTGTTTTGGTGCTCCAAGGATAAAACCTAAATACAACAATGCTGCAAACTCTGTAACTTTGGTTTTAAACACAAACTAACGTCCAAACAATATGATTGCACAAACGTCCCCCACCCCCAGGTCTCTCCCCCATCAGCCTTCTTAAGAATCTAGGCAAATCTATATTTTTATTTAAAATGTAATGATGCATTATCTGATACACTACTCCAAGCTCCTTCACATAACAGGAAGAGCATTAACAATTACGTTCAACTGCTGAAGATCTGCAAGGAGAAAAGATTGATAGTTTTCCTTCTCTTTGTCATAGTGGCTTATGAAAGACATGGAAAACGACTCAAGTATAATCCCTTTCCTTCTCTCCTTTCGCCCCTGTCTTTTCAGGTACTTCCAGAATTTACAGAATCTTAGTTTGGCTTATTGCAGAAAGTTCACAGACAAAGGTTTACGGTACCTGAATTTGGGGAATGGATGCCACAAGCTCATGTATTTGGACCTTTCCGGCTGCACCCAGGTTTGTCTTTCAGTCTTCTCTTTCCTGCAGCAGGCGAGGAAGTCCTCCGGGGGACGGACTACATCCAGCCCTCATGTTATACTAATGCTGGGCACGGACTGCAACACAGTTTTCAGAGGTTTTGAATTACATAGCCACAGCTGCTTAAAATTTCCCCAGGATTGCTACTATAGGCTCTTGGCTTCCTTCCACTGGAGTGTCACATCCACACACAGGCCGAGCTCATTGGATGAGGAAACAGACCACTTCTGTGTAGATACTTTGAGCCCAATTATAATACCAGAGTCCAAATGTTGAAAACTTTAGAATTGCTACCATGATACAAACAAAGGAAAAACCTTTTGGGGGAGGATTTGCAAAGCACTTCCTGAAAAGTCAATGAGCTCTCTCAGGGGCTTTCAAAAAATAAATAGCATTGGGTAAAACGCCACAAGTGCTAAATGTAACAAAGGAAATACAACAAAGATTGTAATTTTTAAAATTACATTGCATCCTCGGACTAAATAACAAGAAGGTTTGAGATGTACATGGGGAAATGTTTGAGTTTGAGGGAACAAAATGAAGGAAATTTTGGGTAGAAAATAGGGTATAGTTGTGGGGGGTAGGCCATGGCACTTTGGAAATAGTTACTGTCTCGTTGGTAGTTTCTTCTTGTAGATTTAAGTCATGATACTTTTAACTTCTTTTCTTCCACCTCTCTGTGTATTTTGTTAATGTTAGTATCATAGTATGTCCATCTTTCTGTGAAAATCATATACCAGCACAGATCAGAAGTGGCTGAAGCGTTGGTTGTTACCATTTGTTGAGTTGGTGTTCTATGCCGGGCACCATGTTGAGTTCTTTACACGGATCAGATTCATTCCTCATACGAATGCGATGTAGTGTGTACTGATTATGCCCATTCAGAAATGAAGAGAGCAAGTCTCCCGAGGTTGTACACCCAGTGAAAGCACGTGGTACTGGTGCCCTTAGAAGCACCAGTTGGTACATCCGTGGGCAGGTAGAGTCCCCTGGAGGGAATACAGGCATAGTATGGGTTTCTCCTCCAAGTTCTTAAATGGACAGAACTTAGCTACTCACTGTCACTGGCATTCCATGGTTCCCTGGTACACTAGGCAGTAGGGAGAATGCAGGGAAAAGGTGGAGAGGGCTCCAAGCGAGGCTTGAAACATTTCGAAATTACACTTATTTCCGATCTTCGGGTGTGTAGCTTGCTAAATGTCAACATCTACCATCAATCTTTTTTTTTTTTTTTTTTTTGAAGATTTTGTTTATTTATTTGACAGAGATCACAAATAGGCAGAGAGGCAGGCAGAGAGAGAGGGAAGCAGGCTCCCCGCTGAGCAGAGAGCCCGACGCAGGGCTTCATCCCAAGACCCTGGCATCACGACCTGAGCCGAAGGCAGAGGCTTTAACCCACTGAGCTACCCAGGCACCCCTCTACCATCACTCTTAAAAGACTGAGATGGACTTAACATTCTCTCTAGCTTGACTAAACTCTAGCCCCTGACTACCCTTTACTTAGAGCATTTATTTTAGAAAACTTGCAACTGTATATTCTTTCTTTGTTGTCTTGGAGATAGATAAAAACCTCATTAAAAACTTCTTGAGGGTTTTACAACCCAGGAATGTCTTCCTCAAGGGTCTGGGAGCCATCCTTTGATATGTAGTCATTAAGGGAAATAGCACTGATGTCTCCCCGTCCCTGTGGGAGGGTAGCTGCTTACTTTCCTTTTGGGTGTCAGTTAGCAAACACAAATGGCCTAATCACAGAGAAAAATATTTGCAAGTTTAGGAATAACTCAATGTGCTTGACACATCCCTTTAATGATACATCTCCAGGATTTTCCACCAGCTCAGCCAGTGCTTAAAAACCTTCCCCCAGAGCATAACTTACCTCCTTGTTCTTCTCAGTTTCCACAAGGTAATGACTGTAGCAACAACATACAATTCATACACAGATGCACAAACACACATACACATATCCTAAGGAGAAATAGTCTCAGATACAGTAAAGTCAAAACGAGAGGTTTCACATCAATATGCCTCTGGCCAGACATGCATGCAAAACGCACATAGTGTATCAATTTTTAAATTTTGAGCCAACATTTAAAATTCTGGAGTCTTCATAAAGAAATCTAGACTTCCAGGTTTCTCTTAAAAAACTGGGAAAATGAGCGAAATTGGGCCTGCATTGCCACATGGCCACAAAGGGCTGGGACTGAATTGGCCTCACCCTGTTGGAATGGAGCATGCTGGCATCCCTGATACTCGGGAAGGCCCACACAGGCCCTTACAGCTAACCATTCAATGGCATCACCCGCCTGTCCTCAGTGGGTTTTTAAGTTTGGTCTGAATATATAAAGAATAGATTTCTTTTCCTGGTTGTCCCTTAATTTCTAAGTCTCAAACCACAGTGAAACTAGTATTTCACATCACTAGGCAAAAGAATGTTAAATTTCTTTTGTTCATCCGTCTTCCACTTCCATTTGTTTATTTAATAATTCAACGGAGATTTAACTCCAGGTGTCAGACACTGTCTCAGTCACTGGAAATCGTCCCATTTGGAACCAAGCCCCGTTAGGCGCACTGGAAGTAAGAAATGGGCTTGTGATGAACCACAGATAACTTAAAAATGGCTGCTGCTCTAGATGCAGAGAGAATTGGTAAAACTTGGAGGCTACTTGCTTCTGAGGATTCGTTAAATTCTACGAGGAGGCTCCGTTTACCTCTCTAGCTCTGGGTGTGAGGACAGTTTCCGTCTTCCAGGCCTACATATATTGATACGACCCTACAAAAATCATTCCAAAGAAGGAAAATCGATGATTCACAGATTCTTGGGTTCTCTGCTTGGAAACTGAAATCTATTTTCTTTTTATAAGTTTGGAATTTTGCGCTATGAAGTCATGTGTTAGTGTCTCTGTCCAAGAAGAAAGGTCCTAATAAAACAAAAAGACTTGAGAATAGAAGATCACACCTACCTGCCTTTCTCTGACGTTAACGCCTGCTGCATACTGCCTGTGGTGATGAATAAAACAGCATCCTTTCTTCTAGGAGCTCTGGATTAACATAAGCAAAGTATGTCAAGGGCTAAACTCTAATGCAGTCATGGCTGCCCCCAAAAGGAAAGATGTATTTGTACAATATTGTGAAAGTATTTTAACGATACTTGTTAGAAAAAAAATAAATAAACGCATGGCGGAGAACTGCAAAGAAAAGTGAAAATGAATTACACATATTTTAGAAATACTCTGCATTCTTCTGGGATTGGATAAACAGTGTAGGTGCATTAAGTAATGGGACTGATTTCCTAATAAGTACCAGCATTTGCACATGTACTTGCGTGTGTACTTGCGTTTTTAATGTGGTTGAGGTGATGCCTCTAGTCAGTTTCTTTGCAAAAAAGCCTCTGCTCGCTCAGCCCTGACTGAGGACAGAGTTGCTCTAGCGAGCTCTTTCACTATCCACGGCAAACCTCTAACCATATACTTCCCACTCTGAGCTTTCTGTTTTCAGGTTTTAAAACCTTTGCTTTTTCCCCCTTTTTAATGTTAAACCCCAAAATACAAGAAGTAAGAAGCAAAAAATTTAAATTATCTGAAAACTCACCACCCAGAAATAACAAACACTATTCACATTTCAGGGTAAGCCTTCCTGGTCTTTTCTCTATGTACACTGATACTCCTTTTAAACTAAAGTGGACTACATAGTCCACATATCTTTCATTTAATATTCCATAAAGTTAACATTTCTCTATTTTATTAAATATTTTCCTATAACTTACTTTTAATAGCTATATAGTATTCTGTTGTATCAAGATACCAATATGTACTTAACCATTCATTATTGGCCTACTGTTTTCTGCTATCATCAACAACTTCTGAGGAAAATTCTCATAGCCATATATTTCCATACATCTATGCAATTTTTGGTATAAATTTTTAGAAGTGAAAAGGTCAGAGGACATAATTATTTTTAAGGCCATCCATGCATGACAAAGGTGGCCAATATAAACTTACCATAAATGTAAAATAATGTCTGGTATCTTCATAAGAATATTATGTGAAAAAAAACTTCAGCCAATTTGACATGGATATGATATTTTATGTTTAAATTTATATTTCTCTGATCACTTGTAAGGTTAAACCATACCCAATCACTTAATAAATATTTGTTGAATAGTAGCATTCTTATTCCAACAGGCTGCCATTGGTAAACTATTTTTTTACAAGACCAGTGCTCTAACCCCTGAGCTATGGAGCCATGCCCTTATTTTTTTAAATTAACTAAAAATTTTCTTTCATAGCCAGAGTACAACATTTTCATTATACTATTTTCAGAAGAAGGAGGAAAAAAAACCAGTTTACATTCATTTAACAAAAAATTCTGGTTGAATCAGTTGAACAAATTGAATATACCTGCTTCTATATTTACTGTTTACCCAAAGATATAAAATCTAAGCTTATACCATAAAAGAATTAAAAAAAAAAACTATATTTAAACACAATTTGGGAAGATTTTTTGGAGACAAAGTGGTTTTATTATGAAAAGAAAGTATCCTGGGGCGCCTGGGTGGCTCAGTGTGTTAAAGCCTCTGCCTTCGGCTCAGGTCATGATCCCAGGGTCCTGCTCAGCAGGGAGCCTGCTTCCCCCCTTCTCTCTGCCTGCCTCTCTGCCTACTTGTGATCTCTGTCTGTCAAATAAATGAATAAAATCTTTAAAAAAAAAAAGAAAGAAAGAAAGAAAAGAAAGTAACCTTTCCTGTGGTCCTTCGTTATCTACAGATCTACAGTCAGGGAGACATTTGGTGACAGTGAATGGGTCCATCTTATTCTCTGCTCTGAAGAATGGTGTGTACTGTAACCGTGGACATTTATCAGATGCTTACTGAATATTCGGATTCATGTTTAATTAAATAGAAAACTAATGACCTGTTTTATGAAACGCTGGTAGTTTTTCCCTTGCACCTCATACTTTGCTTCAGGAATTTCTCTCTGTTC